AAGAGGGGGGCTGAGCGAGGGCGGGGCAGGGGGGGTGTACTCATAGTCGTGCATGCCGTAGTCGATACACCATTGACCTCGCATCCCTACAAAGCCGGGACGGAGCACGCCGGGTTCTCACCGGACCAGGCTCTCACATCACCAAGCGCGAAGCGCCGTGAGGTATTCGGCGAGTCGCATGAAGGGTGCGCTGCATCCTGCTAAGGGTGTTCGGCATCTTGTGCTTACTTCCTTGCGTACGGATGACAGCTGCGTATGACTTACTTTATTTTCTGGTGCTTTCACTTCCAGAGACAGTTATAGCACGGTGTAACTGCCTTGAGGATGCTTGACCATTTTAATACAACGTGGTGCGATCATCGTCCTTGCGCGGAGTGAGGGTTCTCGACCCCGCACAACATGATCTACTCGACCACCATTATGGTTCCCGCCCAAAAAGAAACAAAAGTAAAAAAGAACGGTAACCTGGTTGCCGAGTTCACGAAGTGAATTGGCTTGTTTTACAACGTGGTTGCCAAGGGAGGAAAACCCAACCCGGATGGCAAACCCCGGGGCGGCTTGTTTTACAACGTCGTTGCCAAGGGAGGAAAACGCAATCCGGATGGCAAACCCCGGGGGACGGGGGGGGGGGGCGTACTCATTTGTTGCTTGCCGTAGTCATTTGACCATTGACCACGCGTCCCTTTCGAGACGGAGCACCGTTCCTACACCTACTAGAGACACCACCAACATTTGGGAGCTCTTTACGTTTCTGCCACAAACTCCATGAAAATTTCTTGCACATCTTATCCCCGTCCTCTAGGGCCTCTTGTGCCCACCATCTATCCCCAATTATCGCGATCGTTTTTTCGCTGTTGTCTAATTTACCAAACTTGTCCATGTCACATCCTCTCTGTCTCATTTCCTCCTCGAGATCCTCTCTTTCCTTCCTGTACAACTCACACTCCCCAACTATGTGGGGTCTACTCTCCTCCGATTTGCCACATGGACATGTGTGTCTATCCTCCTCTTCCTCTCTCCTACGGCTGGTATACCTCTTCCTCCGTTCTGGCAAGTCCAGATCGCCTACTCGAAATTGCAATTTCAGCTTTTTCGCATAGTCCATGGGGCCGTCCAAGTACGTCTTCATCCCTATCCCTTCTTTCAACTTCCCGTATATCTCCAAGTGGTCTTCGCTTCGTACCTTCTTCCGAAGGGTTGCCTCCTCCCTACTCTCTAGCATCTCCTTGACTTTCGTCTTGAACCCCCCGAACCCTTCCGTGTCCAACGTCTCCTCCTCGTCTCCTATCTCCTTCCAAACCTTCTCTAACACCTTGTCCCATCTGATTTACTTCTTCCCTGGAGTCGCTTTTCCCCAAGCTGCGTTGTCAACCATGGCTGGTAGTCTATCGTCCGACAGTCTACTTATCTTGTACTGCCAATTCAACTTCTGCATGTCTCTCTTTGTTTTAAGAGAGTACATTCCCAATTCTGCTCTCAATACAGTGTTGCTCGTTGTACTTGAACATCCTAATATTTTCTTGGCCGCTGCCATCTGCACCGTTTCCATCTGCTTGACGGCCTTTTCGTTACCTTCCCATACCTCTCCTGCATACTCTAGCTTAGGTACAATCACATTCAAGAGAATACACCTCTTAATCCTAGTGTCTAGGTGTGGGTCCGTAAGGATCTCGTCCATCTTGCCTATCTGAGCTTTACCCTTCCCAATCAACTTCGCTATGTGTGCGTCCCATGAGCACTCCTTCGAAATCTCTACTCCCAGGTACGTATACTTGGCTACTACCGGTAGTTCTTCCTCCCCCCATTTCCATTTGAATTCTACGGGATTTTTCTTGTCTTACAGACCACTACTGCGCATTTTCCTACGTTCGCCGACAGTCTCCATTTTCGGGTGTATCCTACCGCCGCATTTGTTCTTACAACCCTTCTGGAGTTTCGGATACCCCCACAAAATCATCTGCAAACATCAGTCCGGACACACTCTTTCCCCCTACTTGGACTCCCTGTCTTACTGCTTCAACCGCCCTTATCAAATCGTTGATGTAAATCTTAAAAGAGTGGGTGACATCGTACAGCCCTGTGCGACTCCTTGGAGTATATCCACGTACTTCGAAATTTCCCCATCCAACATCACCGCACTTCTTGTGCATTCTGTCATATTTTTCAACATCCTCCACATTTTCCCCCGGATGCCGATGTCCCACATCTTTTTCCACAATCCATTGCGCCATACGGTGTCGTAGGCTTTTTGTACATCTAGGAAGAAACAGTATGTCGTACGCCCGGCGTCTTTCCTACCTTGGATGATTTTACTCAACGTATATACATGGTCTACACAACTACGATCTGGTCTAAATCCAGCTTGTCCTTCGCTGATCTTTTGTTTCCCCTCCAACATGTCTCCCATTCTATTGTCTAGCATCTTGCCAAACAGTTTCCCCACTGTGCTCAGCAGGGTTATCCCTCTATAATTCCCCGGGTCAGCTTTATCCCCCTTTTTGAACAGGTTCACGACTACTCCTTCTCTCCATCTCTTCGGCGCGTACTCGTGTTTCCATATCCACTTGAATATCCGGACCAACATGTTAATCATCCCCTCCCCCCCCTGTTTCAAAAGCTCGTTCACAATTCCATCAGCCCCTGCCGCTTTTCTATTCTTGAGTTTCGCTACGCAGTCCTCTACCTCTTCTCGTGTGAACTCTCCCTGCAACCCGTCTACATCACTACGTTCCCTCTGAGATCTTTCAACGTTTTCCTCTGCCCACGAGTTGATTTCCTTCTCAAACTCCGAGTCGAAGTTGTCGTTGGTGGTGGGTGTCCCAAGTTTGCGGTAGTGCTCTACTAGTTCTTCCCTCTTTCCTTTAGAACTGCTTACCATCTTACCCTCGGCAGATCTTAGTGTCGTTATTTCCGTGTCTCCCCCTCTCTTCCTGCCCACTATCCCTTGAATTCCTACCCACATTTGCTTTGGGGGACTGGGGGGGGGGGGGTACTCATAATCGTGCATGCCGTAATCGTTTGACCATTGACCTCGCATCCCTACAAAGCCGGGACGGAGCACGCCGGGTTCTCACCGGACCAGGCTCTCACATCACCAAGCGCGAAGCGCCGTGAGGTATTTGGCGAGTCGCATGAAGGGTGAGCTGCATCCTGCTAAGGGTGTTCGGCATCTTGTGCTTACTTCCTTGCGTACGGATGACAGCTACGTATGACTTAATTTATTTTCTGGTGCTTTCACTTCCAGAGACAGTTGTAAGCACTGTGTAACTGCCTCGAGGAAGCTTGACCATTTTAACACAACGTGGTGCGATCATCCCCCGTTGCGCGGAGTGAGGTTTCTCGACCCCGCACAACATGATCTACTCGACCACCATTATGGTTACCGCCAAAAAAAAAAAACCGAGGTAAAAAAAAAAAAACGGTAACCTGGTTGCCGAGTTCACGAAGTGAATTGGCTTGTTTTACAACGTCGTTGCCAAGCGACGAAAACCCAATCCCGATGGCAAACACCGAGTGGGGGGCTTGTTTTACAACGTCGTTGCCAAGCGACGAAAACCCAAACCCCGATGGCAAACACCGGGGGGGGGGGCGGCTTGTTTTACAACGTCGTTGCCAAGCGACCAAAACCCAACCCCCATGGCAAACACCCGGGGGGGGGTATGGGGGACTGGGGGGGGGGGGTTTTTTGGGCTTTTCTTTTTTGGGGAAAAAAAAAAAAATTTGCCAAAAAAAACCCCCCAATGGGGGAA